CAGACCTCGAAAGGGGACAGCCGAGTGGCAGATGAGGTGTGAAGATTGTGGGACAGCTCCGCCCAGAGGAGGTATTTAGGCCACTGCGAGGGTTGAGCCGAGACAAAACAACGAAGGTACCGACCCAGCTGTTGGTTAGCCCGCTCCGTCTGGCCATTGGTCTGCGGGTGGTAGCCTGAAGATAGACTGACCGATGCTCCCATCAGCCGACAGAAAGCTTTCCAGAACCGGGCCGTGAACTGGAGCCCCCGATCCGAGACCACGTCGACTGGGAACCCGTGGAGGCGCACCACGTTCTCCAGGAACAGTTCCGCTGTGCGTTGGGCTGAGGGGAGACCCGGAAGGGCGATGAAATGGACAGACTTGGAAAAGCGGTCCGTAACCGTCATGACAGTGTTGAGGTTATTGACCGGCGGGAGACCCGTGACGAAGTCCAGCCCCACGTGGGACCAGGGGCGGCTGGGCACCGGAAGAGGTCGGAGGGCACCAGCCGAGGCCTGGTTGGGGTTCTTGGAGCGGGCACAGACGTCACAGGCGCTGGTGTATTCTTTCACATCCCTCGCCATGCCTGGCCACCAGAGGGCTCGCTGGAGGAATTTAAGAGTTCTGGAGAAACCAGCGTGGCCAGACAGGCGTGATGAGTGGGCCCAGGACAACGCCTCGCTGCGACAGGCCGTGGGGACATAGAGGCGACCCGCGGGGGTCTCTGGAGGCACGGGGTCGTCCCGGAGGGCGTTCTGGATAGCTTCCTCCAACGGCCACCTCAGTTGGCCCAGGAAACGGTGTTCCGGGAGGATTGGCGCTGGCTCGGACGAGGGCGTGGAGTGGGTGAATTGGCGGGAGAGGGCGTCCGCCTTCTGGTTCTTGGCTCCCGGGCGGTAGGCGAGATGGAAGTCGTAGGGTTCAAAGAAGAGGGCCCAGCGAGCCTGGCGAGGATTAAGCTGCTTGGCAGATTTAATGTGGGTCAGGTTCTGATGGTCAGTCCAGATCGTGGATGGCCGAGTGGTGCCCAGAAGCCACTGCCTCCATTCCTCCAATGCCCATTTTATGGCCAGTAACTCACGGTCGCCCACACCGTACTTCTGCTGGGTGGTGGAAAACTTCCTGGAGAAGTAGGCGCAGGGATGGAGCCTGTCGTCGGGCCCGCCTTGAGACAGGATGGCGCCGGCGCCGACGTCAGAGGCGTCGACCTCAACCACAAAGGGAACTGCAGGATCTGGATGGCGGAGGATCGGGGCCGAGGTAAAGCGGGTGACCAGGTGGCGGAAGGCCCGAATGGCGTCGGGAGTTAGACGAAACAGCTGGTTGTGGTCCAGGAGCCGGGTCAGGACGGCGCAAACATGATGGATGTGTTCGGCCTCGGATTTGGAGTAGATCAGTATATCGTCCAGATAGGCGAACACCCACCGTCCCAGCATGTCGCGGAGGACATCATTAATGAGACGTTGGAAGACAGCAGGGCTATTGCATAGTGCGAAGGGCATAACCAGGTACTCCCAGTGGCCGGTGGGTATTATGAACGCGGTCTTCCACTCATCCCCGGCCTTTATACGGACCAGATTGTAGGCGCTCCGGAGATCCAGTTTCGTAAAGATCCGTGCCTGGGAGACGGCATCCAGAGCGGTAGTGAGGAGCGGCAGAGGATGGCGGTCCTTGACCGTGATCTTGTTCAGACCCCGATAGTCTATGCAGGGGCGAAGATCGCCTTCCTTTTTCTTCACGAAGAAGAAGCCCGCGGCACCCGGAGAGGAGGAGGGTCGGATGAACCCCTGATGGAGGGCCTGGGCGATGTATTCTTCCATCGCTTTGGTCTCGGGAGGCGCGAGAGAGAAAAGGCGCCCGCGGGGAGGACTGGTTCCGGGTAGCAGCTTGATCTCCATATCATATGGCCGGTGAGGTGGCAGGGAGGTGGCGCGCCGCTTGTCGAACACCGCGGCCAGGTCCCGATAGGGCAGCGGCAGGTGGGGCGGTGTGGAGCCGGGGCCCCCGTCCGGAAGACCCGCCGAGGATGGAGGAGGAACGAGGTGGGTCTGGCACGAGGTCCCCCAGCCCAGCAGGCGGTTCTGGGACCAGGAAATATGAGGGTCGTGGAGACGGAGCCAGGGGAACCCCAGGATTAGGGGAGAAGAGGGAGCAGAAATGACCAGGAAATGGAGGGTCTCCTGGTGGCCTTGGGTGATCATACGGAGTGACTGGGTTCGGTCTCGGACTGGGTAGGGTTGGAGAGGCCTACCGTCTACCGAGGTCACTGGTATAACTCTCTCCAGGGGTTGTAGGGGGATCCGTAGGCGTTTTGCCAGATCTAGGTCCATGAAATTGTCCGCGGCCCCCGAGTCCACCAATGCGTTTACGTGGAGTGAGGCCTCACCATCGATGCGCAGTGCCAGATCAACCACCTCATCCAGGGTCTGAGGCAGCTCCCTTCCCGCCAACTCATCACGGATGTAGGGTGCCAGCCCCTCCAGGAAGGCGGCCCGCAGAGCTGAGTCATTCCACTGCAGCTTGGCGGAGATGGTGCGAAACTCCGATGCATAAGCGCACACCGAGCGTTCTCGCTGGCGGAGTTTGAGAAGGCGTGTCTCTGCTCCCACTTCGCTGCTGGGGGGAACAAAGGTCTTCCGGAGAGTGGACACAAACGCAGCATAGTCATTGCAGGCAGGGGATTTGGAATTGTAAAGCGCAGCAGCCCACTCCGCGGCGCGTCCGGAGAGCAGGGAGGTGAGATGCGCCACTCGGGAGCGCGCAGATGGGTAGCATCCAGGTTGGCACTCGAACTGCATGTCCAGCGTGGCGAGCAGACCATCGGGGCTCCCCGTCTCTCCGTTCCACCTCTCCGGCAGGCTGAAGTGGGGCTCCTCCCTAGGAGCAGAGCGGGTTGGCTGCTGGAGTGCAGCGATCTGTTGCTGCTGATCGTTTGCCTGTTGTTGGAGAGCCGTGAGAGCCGTGGATAGACGCAGGGTGTGGTCGGACAAGGAGTTCACCTTGGTGTTGAGCTGATCTACCATGGAACGCAGCTGCACGTTCTCGTGGCGGAGACGATCGATCTCCGTCGAATCTACTCGGATCTCAGTCATCCTGTCGGGCTGATCAGACTGGATGAAGGAGACGAACAAGGTGGGACGTTTAACAGTTTTATTATTTCTCTGGTCGTATCTCTGTGAGGAAGAAATGATGACTGAGATGAGAAGCCGGTCACGGCGTCTTCCATACATAGCCTTGCTTGGCTGTGACGTGGAGGGACTCCCCGCGAGGAGCACGCTGGGAGCTCCCCACGAGGAGCATGTCGGGAGTTGTGGTCCGAAGGTCAGCCGGGAGATACCTGAGTCCTGACACCTTACAGGTAGCAAGTCTTGGTGTCATACTAGATGGTACACTTTCATTCCAATCTCACATCAACTGTGTTATTCGAGTCGCATATTACCATCTTCGCAATATCAACAGACTCCGTCCTTTTCTCACGCCTCATGCTGCTACAATCCTCGTTCATAGTCTCATCACCTCTCGCGTCGACTACTGTAACTCCCTTCTGTTTGGTCTCCCAACTAAATCCCTTCATAAGCTCCAACTTCTCCAGAACTCTGCAGCACGCATCATTACTGGGACCCCCTCAAGAAATCACATCACTCCTGTTCTAAGAAACCTACACTGGTTGCCAATAGAAACCAGGATCATATACATATACTACTTACATTTAAATCTGTACATAGCATGGCTCCACTTTATCTATGTAATTTACTAACTATTGCTACCACTTCCCAATATCTTAGATCCTCATCTGCACTTCATCTGGTTCAACCTCGAGCTCGTCTTACCGCCATGGGGAGCAGAGCTTCCAGTTGCTCTGCTCCACAGCTCTGGAACTCACTTCCCTCTGCCGTTAGAAATACGGACTCTCCCATTATTCAAGGCACACCTCAAAACCCACTTATTCAAACAAGCTTATTCCCTTTAGACCCAGACTTTAGAATTATTTGAAATTTTTATGTATCTTGTTTGTTCTTATTGCCCTATCTAACCTCTGTTGTTTTTTATGGTTTTATCTTTGTAAGGTGACCTTGGGTTTGAGAAAGGCGCCCTCAAGCGAAATATTATTATTATTATTATTATTATTATTATTATTATTATTATTATTATTATTATTATTATTATTATTATCACTACTCTGCAACATTGATGTTTATCTCCACAAATAAAACAAGCCTTAAGGAGTTCAGCTGTGTGGTAGAGCTGCTAATGCTAATGGTTAGCGTCTAGCAGCCCAAACATGCTCTGTTGTTTTAGCATCCAGAATCAGCAGCATTCCCCGTCGTGGGTCCAGATGGGTGAGTCCATGAATGTTAGTGACAGTGTGATGTAGATCTATCAGGCTTTTCTAATCCTAGAATTTCACCATCTGTTGTGTGTCAGAAGCTACTGCAGGAGACAGGTGTAGGAGACTATTTTCATGTTCAGCCTGCATGAAACACCCAGACTGACCCATCGTTTCCAAAAAATAATAAGTATAAAAAAGGGTTTCTCTTCAGGAAATCATAGTAAATACTCTGCGTTTATTGGGGCAGTAGGAACTTCAACACACGTGTTGTTGTAATGGTTTTTCCAGATTTAAACATGTTAGACTTCTGCTGAACTAATATTTCTTTCACAGCTTAATTCCCACTAACAATATCTTTCTTTTACATTGGGTTTCCAGCAGCATCTATTCCAAAACTTAAATGAAAAAATAAAAAATTGTAAGAAATCTTGGATTCTCGGCTTGAGGTGACGGTGGCTCAAAAGTTAAGAGTTCACCCTTTTGGGTGGGTTGCCAGTTGAAATGGTGGCATCTGGGTGGCTACAGTCCGGATTTGAATGAGCTGCTTACCGGTCAGAGGGCAAACTCCTAACCTCTGAACCTATGAAATTCGATTTTTAAGACAATGTAATGCATTTATAATATTTGCTTTGCTTCATTAAACAACTGTTTAAACATGTTTTCATGTTTACTTCGTTTTCTTTTGCAGGTTAATGAAAGCTTTCTGGAAGTGGGCTTAGTGGATCTGTGCCAGATCAGCCCGGTGTCAGCAGGCCCCGTGGCGCTGGCGCCAGATGACTCTTGGGAATGGGATGAAACAGATTTGACAATCCAGGACGCCGAACCACAAGAGCCTGATCTCACTCACAATCTCCCCACAAAACCAAATCTACCAGTGAATGGTGCTCTGTCCAAAGTACAAGGCCAGCTTGTCAATGTGAGGTTGGATGTCTCAACTACTCAGTGCATGGAAATCTCTAGTATGATTGGGGGATCTTCACTGGAAGTTCAGAACAAAATGAACTCCAAAAGAGCCCCTTCTAACAACAACATAGTGCAGGTGTTTAGCCTTTATAATGCTGAAGTATGCCAACAGCCTCAGTTTCCTCTTACCTCCTCCATGAGGCACAAAACCAAATCCTCTAAGAAGAAACAGAAGCTTCTCCTGAAGAGTATCAGCAAAGATTCGTCGTTTTCTTCCATTGAATCTCTTCCAGACCTCCTGGGAGGTTTGATGTCAAGCGGCCAACAAGGAAACAGGATTCTTGGAGTTTGGGATAGACAAAGTGAGGGTGGCAGGAAAAGTGAGCAGTCAGAAAACAGTTGCCGTTCGGATTGCGAGAGTGGGATTGTTAGTGACACAGGAGATGCAGAGACAACCACAACAAACTCTGAAATTCAAGCAGATGAGGATGATCAGTGGAGAGAAGAAGAAGGACAAAAGGAGTGGAGAAAGAACGGTGCTGTGATTGGACATCATTTAGCGTTGCAAAGAGACAACATCACCAATAGAAGTAGTGAAGCAGAAAAGGTTAGGGAGGAGGGAGGGAGGACAGATGAGTTCAGGAATGAAACTAAAGAGATCACTCAGGAAGAGGAGAAAAGGAGGGGAGGAGGCAAAGCCGCTGAAATTCAAACAAATGGACACGGGATAATCACACTTACATCTGAATTCCATGTTGAGGGATTTGACGTTGACTCTTCCAAGCCTCACAGTTCCCTACTGTTTAAAGCTGACCAGTTTGATCATTTGGAGGCTTTTCCTGTTCAGGACCATCAGCCGTCAAGTCCAATTTTATCTCAGCACTCATCCTTGGAGTCTCTCTTGGCACTGGATGTGGAGTTGTTCCCCTCCAAAGATCCTCTTCATCGTAGTGCCTCCCTCGAGAGCTGTCTAAATCCATGCCTCAGCACTGATGGGGAGGCAGGAGGCAGCCCTGCTGGCCTGGAGGAGCTGGAGCCAGGAAAAGAAAAGTCAGCAAAAGAAATCAAAACAGAACGTAATAATGGAGAGTCAACCTCTGGGGAGCTGAGCCGAAGAACACTTGATCTCCTGAAACGTTTGGAGAACGTCCAGAATCCTTTGGTGGCGAGCATGACTCGCAGTGTTTCTGACATGACCCTTCAAAGCAGCGCCCCACAGAAGGAGTTGGCACCTGTTTCACCCTCACTTGGTAGTCGACACGCACATCACTCAGGGGTCTTAAGCAGGTCCCGGAAGGAGCTGGCACCAATGATGAACAAAAACTCTTGTAATACATCACTAACGGAGCTGAGTAGCACTGAAGATTCATCATTCGGGTCTGAGGATTTGGTCATAGGCAGAAATCAGATGCACCTTTTCCTAGATCCAAATAGTGAAGTTAATGCTAAGTTGAGGCCTTGTAGAAGACATTGTAACAACAACAATCAGGGTGGGCAAGGACTAGATGGAACAGATGTTGCGAACTTGAGCATGGTAGTAAATGTCTCTTGCACATCCTCGTGCACAGACGAAGACGAGGACGACAGTGACCTGCTTTCTTCTTCTACTCTCACGCTCACTGAAGAGGAACTTGGTGTTCGGGTTGAAGCGGATGGAGATCGGGGGAGGCCGAGTGGTGCGTCCTCCTGCAATGAGGAGGAGGACGATGACAAGGAAGAAGTGGAAGGCCCTTATGTCCTGGGGCTTCAGTACATGAGGCAGGAATTACAGAGTTGCATCCGATGTCCTCGCATCGCTACTTCTTCCTTGCCTAAAACAGAAGTGGGTCTCTGGGATGAGCTGCAGTGTGGGAACGCTTCATCTTCTACCTTCACATCTTCAGGTGCTAAATCAGTAGAAACCAATAAAACGGACATCAACAATACAACAAAAAGAAAAGAAAGAGAAAAAGAAGCCAAGGACAAAAGCAACACCGCTAGAAGCTACATCTGCCAGTTTGTGGATGACGTGGAGAATGGAAATGTAGACCAGAGTTGCTTAAAAGGGACAGATGAAGATGAGCTTCTTCGAGAAGAGTCTAGCGTGTTAACTAAAAAAGGAGATTCTCTAAGGGAGTTATATGCAAACGAGTCATATGAAGATTTCATACATTCAAGAGCAAACATGGAGTCAGATTCAGCAAGGCATCTTTGTTTTTCACCATCTTGTGAGCTCCTCTCCTTCTCTCCTAAGCCTGCCTCCTCTATGGTGGGACAATTGAGGGGGGAGCTGCCCTGCCACAGTTCTTCCCTCCATTCACCTCCATCACTTTCACCAGTTGAGGATTGCAGATCCAGTTGTGCTTTACACAGCAGCAAACCAGAACCTGGGGGAAGAAAAGCCATAACCAGTGAAGAAAAGTTCAAGTTCTCATCTATCGTGACTGAGGAGACAAGGAAAGAAACCAGAGCAAAAGATTTGTCTCAGCCTCCCAGAAAATGGCACAAATCCCACTCCTCTTGCCATAACCATCTTCCCTCCCCATCTGCTGCTCATACCAAAAGTGTGGATAGGGGCAAGAAAGAGAACGTGCATGCCTTTGTGATGGAGATCATTGACTTGGCTTCAGTGGCCCTGAAAAACAAAGACAACCAGACGGAAGGGCTGAGCCTGAGTGAAACCAGTGGATCCATCCAAGACCAAAATCCTGCATCATTTGCAAAGATAAGAGACAAGGTAGAGAAATAACTTTACTTCATAACTTTTAAAATAACTTTTAGAAAGGGTCATTAGAGAAAATCAAATGGAAGTTCATGTAATACCAATGTATACCCTTTTGAAACAAAAACCCAATATTCAAAGGCGTGGAACACCCACTTAATACAGTACATGTGCTATGGTCTCTCTAGTAGAATGAATGCCTTGTAAGTCTTACTCTGGGGGAAAGAAGCTTTGGTGAACCTGTTTCAGTAACCAGAGAAGTGACAGATCAGAGGAGAGCTTCAGACAGCAGGATTTGCAGTAGAGGAGGTCATGAAAGTTCAGTGCCAGTGTGACGCATCAGAAGCTGCAGGAGAAAGGTGTAGGAGACTATTCTCATGTTCAGCCTACATGACAAACTTAGAGTAACTGATTATACTCAGAAATGATAGCCAAAAAATATGTTTCGTGTTCCACACCTTTAAAATATAAGTTCACAGAAAAAACATACTTATTACTTTTGAAAATGATGGTTGACTCTGAGTGTTTCATGCAGGCTGAACATGAAAATAGTCTCCTACACCTATCTCGTGCAGTAGCTTCTGATAGAAAACAGACGGTTAAACGCTAGGATTAGAAAAGCCTGACAGATCTACGTCACCCTGTCACTAACATTCAAGGACTCACCCATATTGTCCCTCAACAGGGAAGGTTGTTGGAGGTGTCCAGGAAGCAACAGAGAACATCACAACTAGTAGAAGCTAACCGTTAGCATTAGCAACTCCACCACACAGCAGAACTCCTCCAGGCTTGTGCTAATTGTGGAGATAAAACATCAACCAATCAGAGGCAAGACGTCCAATTATGAGGAAATGAGACTCCTAATCCTGCCGTGTTTTACCACTTTCTCCTCCAGCTGACCTTCTCAAACACGCGTCTGAGTTTTTTTTCTCCAGATAAGGAGTTTCAAGACTTTCATTCCTACTGGAGACCACTGCAATAGTATTAAGAGTATACCTAAACTTGATCTTTAATGTGGAGAGTGTTGTATCTACCATGAGGGGGCAGTATAGGAGAGGGGAGGAGAATGTGGGTAGGAGAGAAGAAGAAGAAAGAGAGTTAAGATGGATGCCTGATTTTGCTACATGTGATGCAGGTTTGAATAATGGGCTCGACACACGGGAGGAGACATCGCCTCTCCGTTCATTTTCAATGAGACAAGGGCGACAACGCGATAATCATGGGTCTCCCTCTTGTTAAGCGACAAGGACCAATCAGCAGAGGTTTCAGTGACTGACCAATGAGCGGATGGGATGCTTCTCAGTACATCTCCAGGCCAACATGGAGGAAAAGCTAATACTTGCTGTGTCGGATTTCCCAAAGCTTTACAAAAGCAGCTGCATGGGAAAATGTTGGTGCCAGAATCAATGCATGTGGGAAGTTTACTCTACAGACGCAAACATTTCTGTAAGTTTATCTAGTGCAACCCAAAATTCCCCCCAGTCTGACAGCCAATCAAAACAACGGAAGACTCGTCATCCACCCTGGAACAGAGAGCGTTGCTGGCTTTTGCCACTGCCAGCTGCTGCATGTCGCCTCCCGTGTGTCAGGTTATCATATCGACAGCGATGAGTTTCGCTGATCGTGGTTGTTGGTCGCCACCCGTGTGTTGAGCCCATAAAGCCTGAAAAAGAAGTCTTGCCTATTCTTACTGCTGTCTGATACACAACAGAGTAAACCTGAGCCAATCCGATGCAACAACAAACAAACTAAGAGACAACGGATGTTCCAGTGCGGTGGTTAATGAAAATAAAGCATGCTGGGGGTGTCTGGGACTGGGGGGCTGTTGCCCCCCTCTGGAGGTGCTTGGATTGCCTCGGGGGGTGGGCTACTGGCGGTTGTGAGTGGGGCCCCTTAGAGGTCTTGGCGAGGGCCATGGGTCACTGCCCGGCAGCTGCATTGACCCTGGGTGGGTCTGGCTGGGGGCCTGGGGGCTTGGGGTGTGGGGGTGGCCGGCCCCATGGAGGGATCTGGGCGGGGCCTTGGGGGTCAGGTCCTGACATTTATGCTGCCGGGAAGAAGGCAGGAACATGCAGCAGTGCCTGGCCTGGGTTCTGGGGCCTCAGGTAGACCTTGGCTCCTCTGCTGTCTCATCACAGGGGAGGGGGAAGTCCAGGAGGGGGAGGACCCAACCTTACCTGGATGTCCCATGTCTTATATAATCTGGAAGTTGTGCAAATGCAGGGATGGGCCTAGATATTCTGCTGGGGTGGGGCTGGGTTGGTGCCCTCGGACTCCGTGAGGCTCTGTAATGCTGCTGCTTTGGGCCCTGGCAGGATGGGCTGGGGTCTCCATGCCCTGAGTGGCAGTTTGACAACAGAGGTGCCTATTGGGGCCAGTAGGGGAGCTGGCTCCCTGGAGGGCTAAGCCCAACCAGCCATTCCTCCCCATCCCCGCATATTTCTCTCCTCCTGCTCCCTCACATCACCACACGAACATACACATAGGACCTTGGGGGGTGGACAAGTCAGGGAGTGAGGGTATGGACCCCATTTCTGCATTCCTGTGGCAACCTGCCCCCCAATTTTATTTGCACCTTACACACTTCCACCCGAAGACATTCCACACAAACACACACTTAGGGCCTTGGGAGTGAGCACATCCAACGGCCGTTGGCAGGGGGATTTCTCAGCCAGCTACAGAGTAAATCTGTAAGGCTTGTCACCAGCATTCAGACATCAATTCTGTTTGCTTCACAGCCAGACCGGACACGGGGAAAAGGAAAAAATAAAAAAAGAGAATAAAGCATGCTGTGGAGAAACTTTACTGCATCAGTTGGATAGAAGTAAATGGCTGTTCAAATGTCAGCCACACAGAAACGTGATATTATGAGTCACTCATCAACAGGTAATGACCATTCCCTGCCCTTCAGAAGAGCAAACCTGGAGTTTTGACTGGTGACAAGTCAGATTTGGTGTTTTTTAGGGAGGCGTTAATTCAAAAGAAGTCAAATTTATCTCACTTAATTTGGTCGCTTACTTGAAGTAATTCAATGAATCGCATCACAGATCAGAACATTTAGGGTGTAATGAATAATTCCGTCAGTAGCGAGTAATCTAAAAGCTATAAACTTTTCAGACTTTAGTTTATTACTGTAAAAGCAAAAATAAATCAGGCAGAAAACCTGTTTTTTCCTTCTTCGACTGGGGAGGGTGTCCCCTTCTACAATATTAGTATGTAAATTAGGATTTGATATAAAGCAATTTACAAATAGAAAAGTAATTAAAAAACAATTTTCACTTGGTTTAACCCTTTTGATCCATCTTTTTTTAATCAAACTTGATTTTCTATATAGATGTACATGCGTGGGGTTTTGTTACCCGGTGTTTTACGTTTGGACTTGGTTACACTGTTTTTATTTCTTCTTCACCTCTCAGGTGCTTGAACATTCACATCGACCTCTCCAGCTTCGTAAAGGAGACTTCTATTCCTACCTCTCCTTGTCCTCTCATGACAGTGACTGTGGTGAGGTTAGTCAGTGTGCTGAGGACAAAAGCTCCACCCCTGTTCCCTACAGCATCCCCTGTTCCACCACACCAACACAAGACCTCCACAGTCCAAGCCCTGAGCTGTTCACCAACACCACACAGCTCACCTCATATTCCCATTCGGACCAGGCGTCCACACGCCTCTCTCCTAGCCCTGCGTTTAAGAGCAACATGTGCAGTTTGGATTTGGAGTCTGCTGAAAGCCCAGTTGAAAGGTCCCCCAGCCCCTCTCGGTCTGTCCCCCCCAGTCCTGACATCAGGGATGAAGAGACACTCTTTGCACCATGTACAGAGGAGGTCTACCTGGGCCCGCCCCTGTGCTACAGCATGGTTCTCACCAAGAAACCACAACGTCTGTTGTCCAAGCCGAGCTCTGAATTCTCATCGAGTGGTGTCTCTGAGCCCAATGAAACTGCACCCTGTTCATCTCAGCCGTACAACTATTTAATCCAGGGCAACATTTCAAGTGAGCACCCTCCCTCACAGGAATCTGGGATGGGACGGTTCCAAGACAACCTGCATTTTGAAAGACCAAAATATGGAGAGAAACCTCTGAGATCTCTTCAATGTTTCTCTGAACCTTGTGACAGCTCATTTCCATCCTTTCCACTCCACAGAAGTGACTCTAGCTCTCCTAAAGTCCCTCCTTCCTGTCCGTGCTTTGTGTCCTCCAGCGTAAAAGGAGAAAAGCCCAGTGAGGGATTGTCCCTCTCCTGTGATGTTGCTGCAGGAGGAGCTGCGGCTGCTGCAAGTGTCAGCACGCCGCTGGAGGAGAGGAGTCGTAATGAGGGGCCACCTTATCTTAATCCATGGGTGCATGTTGCCCTGATAGACTCCTTCGCAGCTGAATGTTTGGAAGATATTAAAACGCTTGAATCCAATATGGGCGCCATAATGACCAAGATAAGTGTCTGCAGCTCCGCTACAAATCCCTCAAAAGAGCCAACCACTGCTGCCACACGTTTTATTCCTGAAATTAACTGCTCAGCGATGGAAACGACTGATAGGGGGGTGGGAGTGAGGTGCAAAGAGGCAGATATTCTACAGGCAACGCAGGAGGAGAAGGAAAGGACAGGGTGGAGCCGCTCGCAGCAGGAAGCAAAGACTACGATGGTGAAACAGGTTAGTGGTCCATGCGTTTGCTCGATGTGTTATCTTAGGACATTATACAGTACCTTGATATTTCACTCCACCTCTCTACTCCAGGTATTAGTGTGAGCCGAGTCTCTGTAGGCAGGACTGCTCTCTCATTTCCATCAGACAGACGTGAGGTGTGTTACTACAAGGCCTCTTCCTCTTCTTCACTGGAAATGTCTTCACTGTCTAATCTATTTTAGTCTTTATTTAAAGACTCATTTCACTTCATCTAAATGTTTACTCTTGTGTTTTTTCACCACCAGCAGAACTTCACTAGTCTTTATTATCCACATGCGTTCTCTTTTCCCATTTGTCTGTTTTCTCCCCTTCAGTTGCCATTCCCCTCCTTCATTGCTTTACTTTCACACTTCTCCTTATCCTCTCCTCTTGCTATGTGTACTTTCCTTTTTCCAAACTTTTGCAGAAGTATTTCGGCACGGTTTCTTCTCATATTTCTTCTTTTTCATGCCCTTTGCCTGACTTATTGTTTCTGTCCCAGGTGTTAATAAAAAGGACATGTTTGCAGAGTTTTGGGGGTTTCAGTTAAAAACGTTAAGGTTCATAGAAAATCTGTAGAATTGCTAATCATCACATTTAATTATGATGCAGCAGCAAGAGCTTTCTCGTTTTGCTGTGACTATTCATGTCACTGCTGAATCAGCATGTTTGTGCATGCTTTATGTGTCTTAAGCTAAGGGAACGGGACAAATTTTACTCTATATGATTCCTATCTATGAACCATTTAAATATCACAACGTGCCCTATAGGTTATAGACTGTAAGTCGCTTTGGATAAAAGCGTCTGCTAAATAAATAAACATAATACACATAAATAAATGCACTTTATAATAATAATAATAATAATTATTATTATTATTATTAATAATATTATTATATTATTGATATTATTATTATTATTATTATTATTATTATTATTATTATATTATTATTATTATTATTACTATTTTATTATTATTATTATTATATTATTATTATTATTATTATATTATATTATTATTATTATTATTATTATTGTTATTATTATTATTATTACCTCCATCAGACTGTGACCGTCAGCTCTTGCTGGGGAGATTCCCAAACAAGGGTGTGGTTGCTATGACAATCAGCACCTCAATCAGACTGGTTCCCTACTGGAGCTTAGGTACTTCACAAGGGAGTGTACCAGGGCAGCGTCTGCAGTGATGTGGAAACTGAACTGGTCTGATTTGGGAAAGTGGGAGAAGAGCTGGCTGTAAGTGGACTCGGAAATCCTCCGTGTCTCCACATGAAGAACCAGCTGAGGTGGATCATTCATTTGGTTAGAAATCCTTCTGGATGCTTGTCAGGGGGAGTTTTCTTAGGCTTGTCCTGAGTGGACGCGACCTCACTAGGATATCTCTGGGCTGGCCTGGACCAGGCTAGGCTGTTAGGGAGAGGACAGGGCCTCTCTTCTTAGGCTGCTGACATAGTGATAAACCGAGGAAGATGAGGTAAAATAAATAAGATGAGAAAGAATGTAGAAGTTTAGCAGTACAAGTCCTTGTATGATCACACAAAGTAGATGCACTCTGCCTTCAGGAACAGACCCAACCACAGAAGAGCTGAAGCTGGGTGGTGAACACACACAGGTAGTTCTGATAACACCTGAGCTCCATGAGGTCTGAGACTGATGCATCAGTGTTACAGCGGGACTAAAGACATGATCAGGAACAGGTTACAGCTGGATGATCTAGGAAGGTATCAGGACGTCTGAGCGGTGAACAGGTGAGCCGACCTTCGGGACGTCCCGCTGTCATGCTAAGGGCACGTCTGCAGACCCGCAGCAGCGAATCTGCGGGTCTTCCTCGTTCTTCACGGCCGTGATGCGCTAGGATGAAAACATCTGCCTCTTTAGCTCCTGATCAGCTGATGACAGCTTCAACACACCGCGCTGCTTAACGCACGCATTTCCTTATCAGTAACAGAAATGTGTTAAAAGAATTTGTTAAAAGAAGACGGTAATTAATTAGTTTGCTCGTTACAGAAAGAAATATTTTTTTTATTAACGTGGTTATTTTAAACGGCGTTATTCCCATCACCGCTCTGTTGTGTCTACAGCAGGCAGCGACTGAGACGGTGAGGGTCTCGGCCCACCCGGCCAATCATCATCGTGTTTGTAAGCGCGTTACCGACACCTCTCTCTCCCTGGCTGCAGCTGAAGTGTGGCGGTCAGAAAGCCTCACGCTGTTGCTCAACGTTCAACAAGCACATAGTAACGCACAACCTTCCGTCCCCAGTAACGGTAACGGCGTTGCAGCAGTGTGAAAAGTAATTTATTACATTATTCCGTTACCTAAAAAAGAACACCGTTAGTAATGCCGTAATATTTAAACGGCGTTACTCCCAACACTGAAGAAAACTTAGCAGAAAAATGTGCTCAGCTTTGAGCTGACTAAGGACCTGGCTTACACACATGCTGGAGATGGAGAGCACCTGCAGTGCTGCTGCTGAGAAGGATACCATTATGAAATCCTGCAGCGTTATCACTTGTACCGCTTTGATTTCACACAGAACAAGACCCCCCCCACACACACACACGCGCACACGTACACACGCATGCGCACACACGCACGCACACACACACACACACACACACATTCTGAAGCGCAGAGTACGGAATGCAGAATATCAGCAGGGGGACAGATTGAGACAGAATGTCAGTGTGTGTGTCCTGTCACTGTGACCAGATTGATCATGCACCCTGGCTACTTGGACAAGGGAGATCTCCGTTTGGGTGACTGGTTAGCATGCATGACTTTTACCCGGGAGTCTGGGGACTGAATCCTGATTGGAACATTCTTTTATATCCGCCACAGATCTCTCTGAAGAATTCACAACATTGACGGCTTCAGCAACGCTGTGCCACTCTGTGGATTTTCACTTATTTGTTTTGCAAAAGCACTTCCTTTCATTTCTCCACCTCACCCACAGGTACCTCAGCTTCTGCTTCTGTGAAATTACGCTTCCTTGATCTGCCTTGATCTACGGTCGCCATGTCATTGGCGGAGCGCTGCAACATCCGGCTTATGTATATGCATGAGATCCACAAGGCACTTTGCATTGACTATTTATGTCAGTAAGTGGGCGTGGTGAGGGGGGATGTGACTAAAATGCAGCTGAGAAACATTCTCGTTAGTCTCTGATTCATGAAGCAGAGATTGCGCGCAGCTGTGTGTACTCCATGTTTGATAGATCACAAACTTACTTGGCGTAAGTACATTTTTTTTGCTGAGCTTCAGTACGGTTTTAGTAAGGATTCTACACCATGTTTGATCAATGAGACCCCAGGTCATTAAGCCAATCAGTAAAAAGTTTCCTGTATAAGAAACCTAGCAGGTTGCATCGAGTCACTGACTAGTGTTAGAGACTTTACAGTAATTGTCAATCTAAGCAAGCATGCAGCGACAGTGGAGAGGAAAACTCTCTTTTAACAGGAAGAAACCTCCAGAGGATCCTGGCTCAGTAAGCAGCCATCCTCCACGACTCATTTAAATGTCTCAAGTTGTCTTTGGTTCATAGCCTTTCGATCAATGCTATTGTCTGAGCAGAACCTCCCTGAACCGTCTACAGGTGGTTCAGAATGCCTGTGCTCGGCTTCTGACCAAGTCCTCCAAACACACCCACATCACCCCGCTTCTCCTCCAGCTTCACTGGCTGCCAGTCAACTTCAGGGTTCATTTCAAGATCCTGGTTCTGGTCTATAGGGCTTTACATGGACAAGCACCATCTTACATTGGTGATCTTCTTAGTCCCTACACCCCCAGCAGGTCCCTGAGGTCCAGTGATCAAAGCCTACTGGTTGTGCAGCACCAGGCTAAAGGTCAAAGGTGACAGATCATCTGCTGCTGTGGCCCCCAGACTCTGGACCTCTCTCCCACTGAGCCTGAGATCAGTGGACTCAATGGTCTCCTTTAAAAAGCAGCTGAAGACTCACTTGTTCAAGCTGGCTTTTGTATGACCTTCTTCACCTCTCTCTCTTTATTCTGCTCTCCCCACCTATTCCACCTTCCTCAGGATCCACTGATTTCTCTCTTTCCTGTTCACTCTCTCTCTTTCTTTACATTTTTTTCTTTTAAATCACAATTGCTTATTTTTTGCTCATTTAAAATATATTTTTAAACATTTTCTAAATGCTTTTTTATATTTTTACATTTTTTGTTTTTGTGAAGCTCCTCATGATTTTTATCTTGAGAGGAGCTATGGAAATGATTTCTTCTTCTTCGTCTTCTTCTTCTTCTTCTGCTATCTATAATAATAATAATATATGTATATATATACACAATATATATATATATATATATATATATATATATATATATATATATATATATATATATATATATATATATATATATACAGTATATACATATATATATATATATATATATATATATATATATATATATATATATATATATATATATATATACATATATACATATATATATACATATATATGTATATATGTATATATATATATATATATATATATATATATATATATATGTATGTGTGTGTGTGTGTGTGTGTGTGTGTGTGTGTGTGTGTGTGTGTGTGTGTGTGTATATACTGTTTCAACAGGACAGAGAGGCAGAAAGTCTGAGGCAAGCAGTTAAGATGGATGACTTTAAATTAATTATGGAAGTTGAGAAACACAAGGAGCTGTACGACCCCCGAAAAACACGATTATTTACGTACCCATTTCGGAAGAAACTGCTATGATACAGCTGCAGAATTGGAGCGGGTTCCAAGAGATTCAACTGGCAGAAACAACTCATACCATAGGTTCACACACACACACACACACACACACACACACACACACACGCGCGCACACACGCACACGCGTAGAAACACTCAAACGTAGAGGAAAAGGGCTGAGAAAAGGCAGAGAGGAAATGGAGGACACCAAGTGTTTAAAAGAAAAACTACAGCTGAGTCGAGGCGCGCCTCGACTGGGGCGCGTCTGATCTGAACTGAGGAGTGGCGATCAGCGGCCGAATTTCGTGATCGATTCGCTTCTTGGCGCTTCTTGGCGCTTCGCGGCGCTTCCGCGGCCGGTGTGTCCCCGGCGTTAGACGCCATGTTCCCTGCTTCTGTAAGCTATGCAACGTGCGTGGTGACGTCATTTGCGCCGACTGGAATTGATAACGGGAATCGTTTGCAAAAGTGGCAAACGATTCCTTGGAATTGAAACAATGGGAACCGGTTCTCAACAAGAACCGGTTTTCGATTCCCAACCCTAGCTCTGGTTGTAAATTGCTCATAAATTTACACATTTTTCAATGTGTAAATGGCTGAAATACAAATAATTCCTCCACACTCCTAATGTGGCTCCTCACCATATTACATTCCACCTGGCTGCAGCGCGGAGCTCGGCTGGCCTAAGCCTGCTGGTGATTCAGAATCATGTTAGACCAGAGCTGCACTCCCTCCCACTGAAAGCTCCTGCAGCACCTAGTAGCTGGAGCGAGCAAAGTCATGTATTCTCTCCTGTCCTCCCTCCCTCCCTCCCTCTTTTCCATCCTCTCCCAGGGAAAAGATACCACAGCTTCCAGGCCCACTCTACACAAGCCTTGTTTTTGCTGTAAACAAGCTGTTTTATGGAGACTAAATACATTTTTGGTCCTGGCCAATCCACAAGTTGGATCTAGATGTTTTTTCCATCACGATCAGCACTCATGGGGCCTCAATTGAGCAGTTGTAACTTTGTGATGTTGACCAACTCATTACGAAAGTGAACTAAGCCAAAGATAGATGTTACATTTTTCAGTGTTCCCAGCCCGGCCGATAGTCCTCCTAACTATTCTGGAGTGAAAGCATCCTAAATCAAATGATTCTTTCTTTAAATGTGCTGAGTTGCACACAATTTGTTTTACAGACACAATTTTATTAGCTTTAGCTATTAGCCCAATGCTACTGCCCGCTTGTTTTTCTGTGTAAAACTACCCTGATGACACACACTTTAAGTTAAAGGGATAACTGTGTAACTAACGATGGACTGAGCCGAACACAAGCAGTGAAGTGATTTGGTCTTTTTTTATTAAAACAGCTAAGAAGACAAACAAAGGCCATTGCTGACATGATCTGTGTGTGTGTGTGATGTGGCCGCCCTATGGGCGCCTCCAGGGCTAAGCAAAACCTCCTGCCCTCATACTCACAAACACACACCTGCACATCCACACACACCCCTGAGGGCAGGGCACGAGGGTCCGGGTAGAAGCTCTGACAGCTCAACAGCTGCAGGTTATACACACACACACACACACACACACACACACACACACACACACACACACACACACACACACACACACACACGCACACACACACACACACACGCACGCACGCACGCACGCACGCACGCACACTTAAACATGCAAAGAACCAAAAGAGCAAAATCAAGCTCAGAGAGTACTAATACACAGTTAATGTTACACAACAGTGAGAAACACACAATCACTATAATACACACATTGTAACCGTGTACAAAGTAATCGTGATGCATACAGTTGGCCCTGACCCCTATGGCTTGGCCCGATCTAGTCCACCTGTTCACACACACACACACACACACACACACACACACACACACACACACACAGACATTGATGCAATTAAAGCCATCGTGAATGCGGCTCATGTGCTCTGTGACCCAGACAGCAGAAGGTCTGCAGAAAAGCACACAGAAAGGTGTGTGTGTGTGTGTGTGTGTGTGTGTGCGTGCGTGCGTGCGTGCGTGCGTGCGTGCGTGTGTGTGTGTGTGTGTGTGTTCAGGTTTCAGTACTGACCCACGTTTGGAAAGAGCGTTGGAAAATCAAGCAGGATGTTTAATAAGCTGTCTTGGATTTTGTTTTCGTGTTATTTTTTAGGAGTCATAAAACACACATTTTAAATAATCCAAACACATGAATTTTACATTTTAGTTCTTTACTAAAACTCAATAATTGTCTAAAATATCACGAAAATGCACAGTCAGTGTTTGAGGGAGATGGAAAGTGTGTGTTGAGTCAGCTCCAGGTCTCAACCCTCTACAAGTGGAAAAGTCAGAAGAAAACCTAAAATAAAATGACAAGAACCTGAATCTGTCCTGACCAGGAGCTCTGAGCCAGGCGTTGGGTCGACTCACAGAAAGGAGAAAACAATTGATGTTTATTATTGCAGAGAGGGTGAACTTGGCTCGAATGTAACACAGCAAAGATGGTTTTACTTGGCTTGAAAGAATTGATGCAACATAGAATAACTGACTTGACTTGACACGAATAAACCTTTATTATCACACACGTGTTCTTTTAACTGGGAATACAGGAGATGTTTAAGTCAGTATTCCTTCAAAGCATAAACTGTTTCATGTGATCAGGTAGTTTTTATGCCACAGCCGCATTTGTGTCTCTCTAAGCTGGAGGTCCCAGTGGCAGATCCCAAACTAACTGGTGCACCTTCTGATGTTCGGCCTGCCTGGTCCATAAACGAGTGGTTCCTATAGTTAGACCTTCCGCTCTACCCATGAGAAACAGCAGTCTGATGGTCGGTGAAGTTAATGCTTTTCAAGAACCCCCCCACCCCCCCCACCCCCCCCCCCCCCATCCCCGCTGAAGAAGCCAGGGCCTGATCAAACTATCTGAACAGATTAAAGACCAATTTCAGAGCTTCCATTCCAGCGTTTGCTACAAGGAGCCTCCTTTCTGTCCAGTCCAGAAACACTCTGTCCATTATTCCTGGGTGAAAACACACCGAGGACTTGGTTGCACTATGAGTGTGCACATTGTATCTGCATGAATACGAAATTGCACCATATTTAAAAAAAAGATGAAAGTAATAACGTTATGCTCTTCCTTCATCTACAGACCACCTGCTCCAGGATTTGACCAGAAAGGAGTGCTCTCCATCTTTCCACCAGGAAGTGACACAACAAGGCAAACTCCATAAGATGACCTTCATCTGCTTCTGACGCATCTAACATTTTTGATGTCCCTCCTCCGACTGCTGTTGACTTAAATAGACTCAAACCTGATGTCAGGAGGACGCTCTGCTGACGTCTGCATGCTATGAATGAGGCACATTACAATATTTGTCAGACCTTTGATTATGAAGCAGATTTAGGAGCCTGGCTGTATGTTTTTAAGCTACTCGGATCATTTATTGTTAAGAATTACATTAGGCCACATTGAAGAATGGGATAAAAAAGCTGTGAGAATATGTTTAAGATTTCAATTCATTCTTAGGATTAAAGGAGGAAAAGACATAAAGAGTGTAAGAATGTGACAACAGGGAGATGCGTCATTAATGCAGGCGTTCCTCTGTCCAGCATCGTTTTTGTACTGGCAACAGAAGCTCTGGTCAAAAACAAGCACCGTCACTCTCCCCTCACACAAGCCTGTGACATCTGTTAGGTGAAAGGAATGAAACTATAACAAGTACAGTTGTCTGGCTCAGATCACAATACTAAACACTTCATCTACACTAGTATAGATGTGTGTTTGTCTGTTTATGAAAAGGTCTCCAGCCTCACACACAACTCAGAGACGCCCTCACTGCCCACCACGAGGGGAGAGACCCACATTCCGCTCAGATCAGTTTAATCAGAAGCTTTAATGGATCTGGATCAACAGCTCTACGGTTTTCTTTGTAGTTTGGATTTTTTTAATCCTAATTTTTTTCATTAAAACCTCATTTTGTGTGTAGATAGGAGGTGCAAACCCACTTAATAACCCTAATTATTTAATATGTGTAAAGTAGTTTACAGAAGAAAGGTTTAAACTACATTCTGACCTCTTCCGGTTATGAAAACATAAAACATCATAACCCTTTTGGAAAAATGAATTTGTTTGATTCTTTAAGAGCCAACAGGATGAGGAGGGTTTCCCCGTCAGACCTGGGCGCTACGACCACACGTCACTCCTCTGGTTAGTTTGCGTGATGAATGTCAGTGTCAGAGCGTTTTCTGTTGCAGTAGGTACAACGGCTCTGCTACGTATGTGTGCACACGTTTAAACTGCACATTGTTTCATCCATATGCTGCTTGTTTACTCAGGTGACTCTGTGCATCGAGTCAGGGTTCACTTAGTAAAACTCAGTTTTCTGCAATCATGGGATCCATGGGAACCGCCTCACCGTTTGTGAAATGTAGAACATGTAGCACCGGAGCACCATGTACTGTTGCAATCACAGGAAAATCCCCTTTTACTTAGAACGGGGGAAAATTTAACGTAGTTAAATCAGAGCAAAAGACGGCTTTGTTCGAATATCTAACGCCTAATACGTTTCTTATGGATCGCCTGTTACAACTGCCAAATGTCAAACTGAAAACCCGCTGATTCCTTGCATAGAACATGCCATGATCCCGGCTGAAGCTACCTTCATTCATCTTTATTAAAGGAGCCGTTTGTGTTGGTGCTACTGAGGCAGCCTCTACACATGGAGTAAAGTTTTCCAATCGTTCCCTAAAACGTAGCAGAAGAATCCTCGACGTTTATGATCACACGTACGACAAACTTTTACTTGAACCCGAGAAGTGTGGAGCCACGCGACGTGTGTGAGCAGAACCTAAATCTATCCTCCAAGTTGTTAGACGTGTTTGTTGAAAGCCACATGAGACGTCCAAAACAGATCCAAAATTAGAGTTGAATAATACCATAAGATCTATGCAACACAACCAAGAAAGCTAGAGCTCTGCTGCGTACGCGCGGAGGGTGATGGGGGTGTTGTAGTAAAAACCACGGTGTGTATTGTGTTGCTTTTGTGAACTACTGCTGGCATGATTAGCTTTGAAACTGGTGTCAGGGTTATACAGTTAAACATACGTTTGTGCCTTGCTCTGCTCTGACTCTTCCTACCTTTTGATTTAAAAGCCCTTTTCCAGGAAGTAAATGTGCAACCGTGAAGTGAGACGTAAATGGCTGAAAGGCGGTTTTTGTGTGATCCAGTACTCGTACGGGTACAACACAGGAGGAGGCGTGGTTGTTGTTGATGTTTTTTTTCTGTTTCTGTCACTTTTCATTTCTTTACTGTCAATAAACTGCATGGTTACTGCTAACTACTATGTAAAGCCATCTGTTGACAAATAAACTGAATTTACTGGAAAACCCTCAAAATGTTTGCAGTTCCTCCTGTTGTAGATGGTTTTTAATCCAAGCAGATTCTGGTTCACAAAGGTTTATGACTGAATTATTTTTTTTCTGCTTGTTTATTTATTTATTTATTTATTTTTTGCCACATGACCGCGAAGAGCTGTTTGACAGACTCACACACACAACTGTTCCCAAACCAAGATGCCACCAGTGCCCAAGACCTCTTTCCAACCAAGAGTCTACACCGGAGGCATCAGCAGCGTGGAACGGCGGCAGGATGGTTTACTGGCGTGCTTTGTGGAGAGAAGAGCATCTCAGATGCAGCGCAGCATCTCTGCCTTCCTCCTTGCTGGGCTTGCAAGATCACAAAATCTCTCAAGACATCAAGGTCATAGTTTGTTAACGTCGTCGGCCATTAAACACAAAAGAAGAAAGAGACTTTTGGTATATAATATATAATGTTGTGCCTCTCCACTGCCAGGGTTAACGCCATGAAAAACACACTGTTGCACTTCACGAAAGATGCTGGGACTAAATACGCGGTTCAGTCACATGTTTTGACATCATTTAGATAAAAAAAATTGCATCTCCACCACCTCCCTCATCCATGGTGTCCCACAGGGTTCTGTGCTGGGACTTCTGTTCCTCCTCTATCTGTTCCCTCTCCAGCACATGCTGGGTTCTTTTAAAGGAATCTCCTACCATCTTAATGACATTTATCTGTACATCTCCTTTAAGCCCCATGAGATGTCTAAGCTGCAGCTGTTACACACCTGCTTAGACTATCAAATCCTGGATGGCTGGGAGCTTTCTTCAGCTGAATGAAGATAAGACTGAGATCCTCCTCTGTGCCCCAGACAAGTTTATTCTTTGTCTTTAAGGTTGAATATGTAACACTCTGGTGACACCTAGTGTTTGGAGGTGTTAGTGCAGCAACAGAACCCATTTTGCAGCCGTCTGGGTGTCGGGTCACAGCTGATACGTGAAGTGACCAGCCAGCACCATGTTCAGTGACGAGTCGCACAGGGTACGGACTGATTTCTATGGCGTTTAAAGCGTGCCACAACCCGTGCACGCGCATTGGGTCCACAGCGCGCGTGTGAACGGGACTCGCGAGCGGAAATATACATGGCGAGAGGTCATTTGTGCACTGAGAGGGAGCAAACTGTGTCTGTGAGCGCACAAGGATGTGCACAAGTGACAAACCTGCGTGCGCGCGTTGTCAACGAGCACACGGCAGAGGAAAACGTGCGCGCGCGGCAGCCTCTGTGCGCGCTCGGCAGCCTCTCTGCGCGCTCGGTTTCTGACTCCTGCTCGCTCGGCTGTAAGGGTTTTGGCACTCTGGAGGCGTGGCCTGTGGCAGATCTTCTCTGTCCTCTGATTGGTTAGTGTACCCCGCACTTTACCCTCTACCTATCTATATAAAAAAGTCTGCTAGTCAAGTAGTCGCTGGCATAGCTCAGTTGGAAGAGCGGGTGACTCTCGCCCCGGAGGATCCAGGTTCGAGGCCGGGCAAGGAAAATGCAGTAGATGTCATGTTAATTTTTCTTAATTTCAGGTATTTTACAGTTGTGACCGTTCAACTGTCATTAAACGTCCGAATGTTTGCTGGGCAGTGTTTTAAAAAGTGCACATAAGCTAGATGGTTTTAACCATATAAAATTACATTTTTTGTGATACTGGAAAAATACATACTGAAATAAAACTACTGATTGAAAACTTTATGACTGTGGTTGTACAATATATGACTCACTAATACACTGCAAACTCCCTTAGAGTGGGGCTTCCAGAGAGAGAGAGAGAGAGAGAGAGAGAGAGAGACAGAGAGAGAAAAGTTCTTGCCTCATTAATGAATTGTTTATTTTTTTCAGTATTTAATTGACAAATTATCCTTTCAAATAATTAATTGATGAGTTACATAATTGTCCATTTAGAATTGTTGAATGGACTGAGTCAAGTTTGGTGCACTTTATATATTTCAAAACATGTTTTTTTTTTAAATTTTAATGATGCATATAAATAATTTAAATGTTAATTTAATGAAATATTTCTATTTTTTCATTACCTCACCCTTGTTTTGACAAAAACGGGACCTTGCTGGATAATATCATGGAGAAACTATTTGTTCACAGTACTTGGCTCAGTGAGGATCTGTGTACCAAAGGAGGAGATACTCAGAAATCTGTCTGCAGATTGTTACAACCCAGACTGGAAGTGGTGGGCTGTAATAAGAAAGGAGACCAAACAGAGGAGTGGGGGTTCAACAACTGATTTATTTAACAAAAGTAAGGATTTACTAAAGCAAGTTAGTGAACAGAAAATGGCCATCTCAAGGTTTTACTCGGATGTCCCTCAGCAGGGTGCAGCACTGTTGAAGGTCATCTGAATGAAAGCTTGATATGCAGTTTCTTTATGAAAGTGTGTAAATATACAGTATGGTTGCCGTACATATGTTGAGGTTCTCAGACATCAGGCTTCTTTGCCCAGGCCTTCACTAGTGGGCTATTTTAAAAGTTGGTAAGGAGAAAAACCACAGCATATAGCTGATTGTTTACAAATGCAAGGAGGGGAATAACAATCAAAATGCTTGTGTTCTTGGACCAGATGAATGGAGCGCTCCACATACACTCAGAGATGTTATGGCTTCTGTTTCTATAACTTTACATGCAGACATTTGAGGTTTGCCAGAAAGGAAAGCTGGCCTGTACACTTTGCAGGGCACAATGTCATCAATGACGAAACCCCTGTCTACCAAGATGACCATCTCTAGTTGTAGCATTTTCAACACACCAGATTCCCAGGTTGGTCGCTGATAGTTCCAGCATACAGTGCTGAGACAAAGGTCACTGGCCTATGTGGCACAATCCAAATGAGCCTCTTCAGAGTGCAGTTGAACTTGAGGAAAATATATGACTCTGGAAGAGAGGGGAATATGGCCATTGACACCTCAGATCAGTGCAGTCAAGAATTACTGGTGTTTGGGTAGTCCTGAACGTGTTGTGATGCCCCCACCATCTCATTGGGTTTTCATTTGTGTTTAATTGTCTTTTTCTTCTGTTGTAGGCAGCTGGTTAAGCAGCCTTGGAGGCACCTGGGCTCAGGGTGTGGTGCTGCCTACAAAGCCTACTGTTTTTCTGCTTTCACTGGGTCTCTCCTGTGTGGTGGAGAGTCCTCACTGGCCATTTTCTGTTCACTAACTTGCTTTAGTAAATCCTTACTTTTGTTAAATAAATCAGTGGTTGAACCCCCACTCCTCTGTTTGGTCTCCTTTCTTATTACAGCCCACCACTTCCAGTCTGGGTTGTAACAATCTGCAGACAGATTTCCGAGTATCTCCTCCTTTGGTACACAGATCCTTACGGAGCCATGTACTGTGAACAAATAGTTTCTCCATGATATTATCCAGCAAGGTCCCGTTTTTGTCAAAACAAGGGTGAGGTAATGAAAAAATAGAAATATTTCATTAAATTAACATTTAAATTATTTATATGCATCATTAAAATTTAAAAAAAAACATGTTTTGAAATATATAAAGTGCACCAAACTTGACTCAGTCCATTCAACAATTCTAAATGGACAATTATGTAACTCATCAATTAATTATTTGAAAGGATAATTTGTCAATTAAATACTGAAAAAAATAAACAATTCATTAATGAGGCAAGAACTTCTCTCTCTCTCTCTCTCTCTCTCTCTCTCTCTCTCTCTCTCTCTCTGGAAGCCCCACTCTAAGGGAGTTTGCAGTGTATTAGTGAGTCATATATTGTACAACCACAGTCATAAAGTTTTCAATCAGTAGTTTTATTTCAGTATGTATTTTTCCAGTATCACAAAAAATGTAATTTTATATGGTTAAAACCATCTAGCTTATGTGCACTTTTTAAAACACTGCCCAGCAAACATTCGGACGTTTAATGACAGTTGAACGGTCACAACTGTAAAATACCTGAAATTAAGAAAAATTAACATGACATCTACTGCATTTTCCTTGCCCGGCCTCGAACCTGGATCCTCCGGGGCGAGAGTCACCCGCTCTTCCAACTGAGCTATGCCAGCGACTACTTGACTAGCAGACTTTTTTATATAGATAGGTAGAGGGTAAAGTGCGGGGTACACTAACCAATCAGAGGACAGAGAAGATCTGCCACAGGCCACGCCTCCAGAGTGCCAAAACCCTTACAGCCGAGCGAGCAGGAGTCAGAAACCGAGCGCGCAGAGAGGCTGCCGAGCGCGCACAGAGGCTGCCGCGCGCGCACGTTTTCCTCTGCCGTGTGCTCGTTGACAACGCGCGCACGCAGGTTTGTCACTTGTGCACATCCTTGTGCGCTCACAGACACAGTTTGCTCCCCCTCAGTGCACAAATGACCTCTCGCCATGTATATTTCCGCTCGCGAGTCCCGTTCACACGCGCGCTGCCATGTATATTTTCGCTCGCGAGTCCCGTTCACACGCGCGCTGTGGACCCAATGCGCGTGCACGGGTTTTGACAGGGGTATGACGCGATAGATTTCTACTAAATTTATTTTACAGTATTTACAGTTGGAACATCTTCTAAGCTCAGAATCAGCTGCTTGACTTAACGAGTCCGCCATTTTTCACAGTCTCAGCCTCGCCTTGCTGAACAGACTTTTTACCGCAACAGTGCCCTCTAGTGGCTGGTAGATGTAAACATAGTCCCAGTGTCGTGCCCGTCAAGATTACATTTGGATTATTTATTTTTATTTAAATGTAACTTTTTAAGGAGAACCTGAAAATCATGTTACACACCTCTAAATGCCACGTGAAAGTATTATTTAATTAACTATAGCTTTAATTAAAATGTTCCATATTCCACCTTCAAGTCTTTAGCCTCAGTTCCCCTTCGGCCCCGTTATTTTGTTGTTCAGTTTTTCCCAGTTTGTCTTGTCCGTTTTGTGTGTTCATGACCTTTGACCCCGGCATGTTCCAGTCTGGTTTCTCTACTCCATGTTCTGTGCTACTTTATATCTGTCCCCTATGTTTCTCATTTCTGTTGTTAGTCCTTT